ACTAGTGAATGAAAACAGACCTGGATCTCTATCCCCAGAACACACATGTTGTGGTTGGAGCAGACTGTTAGGACAAATGACTGTGTCAGATGGTGTAAGTGTTGTGGTGAAAAAATAATGCCTGGAAGGAGAGAGGGAGCCTTCCTGGTGGGATGGCTAATTTAAATATGGATGTGGGAAGGTTTCATTGACAAGTCAGGAGGCTAAGGAGGTTGGCATGTGAATGCTGAGCAAAGAGCCAGAACAAAGTGCCCTGGGATGTTGAGGCAGGAGAACTGCAGTATAGACAGACCCTATTGAAAAAAACACCACACACACACATACACATACACACGCAAGCACACGCAAACACATATGTGTGCACATGCATGTGTGCACACACACACCAGAATAAAAAGAAATAATATGGAGTACAGTAAGAAATAAAGACATGGCGTTGTTAGCCATAAAGTCCATTTAAATCTATTTAGGAACTTTGGAGTGAGACAGACCTGGGCTTGCATCATGGAATTGACACTAGCTGTGGACACTTAAGAAAATGATGTGGAAGTTTGTTTCCTCCGTCACAGAAAGTGTGGTTGAAAGAATTAAGTAAAATGAAGAGTGATTATGTGAAGTATTACATGGAAATAGAACTTGCCCGCTCACAAAGCTTGGTAGCTTAGGAATATGTTTCCTTTCTCATCTCCCCACTTTTCAATTTCTCTTTTGCACTGAATGATTCAGAATTGCTGCCTCTATCGAATCATAATGAAATCTTAATCATTGACTTGGGCACCACAGGCTTCCCACAGTTCTTTCAAACAGAGATGCCCAGGTTGCTGCAGTCGAGGCCAGCCCATTCGGTAGAGCATTTGTGTGGTTTATGCTCTCTAGACCTTCCAAACCTTCTATGGAGGTTGGGAGGCAAAATCAAATTATAAATGGGAAGTACTCAACAAAGGGCTTGGCCATTGTTCATCCTCACTGAATGCTAATTTTTACTACTTTTTTCTCTTTTTTAAATTGTAAGAGGGTAGGGTACATATGCTCACTAGAGACAGAGAATCAGAGAGAGAAGGCATCCCCCTAATGGGTGTGGTTATGCCTTCTCCTCCATTTCTCCATCCTGTCAGGATTTGAGGCATGAATACACATGTGCTTGATGTGTTTATCAAATGGCCAGGGCTGGGATTTGAACCATAGTCCACCATGTGAAATCTGGCTTCCCTACTAGACTATAGGGACATGTCCAGTCTATATTCTATAGTTTTGGCAAGATTTTTGGGCATATATGCATTTATTACTTACACTATGAAAAGTTAAAACAAACGACACTCTACAATGACAGTGGTTGTTTTGACAATGGTGAATTAAGAGGGATTCTCTATCGTTGGATGTGAATACTGGACATAAATTGAATGCGAATCAGGTGTTGTGATATTTAGTTTATTTTTTTTAAGTTTATTTACTCCTTTCAAGAGTGAGAGACAGAGAAACAGAGAGACCCTCTGATAGAAACTTGATGCTAGCTATAATCCACCCCCAACTTCAGACAGCCCTGGATCATGGGCAAGCCTGTGCCCAGCTCATTCAGGAAGGTCTCTTGATATGAACCTAGGTTCTCTTCATGTGGGTTAGTCTCACAGAACTTCACATTTTCCCATTATACCACAGTCCGGCTCCTGTGATGGTTAGTTTTTTGTGTCTCCTTGTCTCAAATACCCAGGTATTCAATTAAACATTCATTTAGTATTGCTGTTGAAAGCATTAAAAAATGTCAAAATGTGCAATAGGTGAACTTTTGTTTTCAAGAGAGAGATTTTTTTGCTATAGGGCATGTGCATTCACCAGAGAGATAGAGAGAGAGAGACAGAAAGCAAGAAATCACCCTTTGGGGGTTGTCCACGCTGCAATCCCTTCTCCTCCACTCTCCTCCCAGGATTTTGGGCATGCAAACACACACACCCAGAGTGAATTTTAAGCTACCAGATCTAGGACTCAAACCATGGTTGACTACATATGAGTCCAGTAACATAACCATTATGCCATCTGCTGGTCCTGGTCAACTTTAAAAAAAAAAGATCGTGGGCCTCACCCAGACTGTTGCAGAGACTTAAGAGCAACACAGAGGCTTCCTTGTGGATGGAATTCTGCCTCAGCAGCATCAGTTTGTCTGAGTTCCCAGACTGAAGCCTGTCCTACAAATTTGGGATTTGAGTGCCTCTACAACTGTATAAGCCAATACCTTGAAATACATGTATATGTATATGTGTGTGTGTGCGTGTGCATTTGTGTGTGTGTGTGTGTGTGTGTGTGTGTGTGTGAAGTATTTCCACTGGTTCTATTTGTTTCCCTAGTACAGGTGTGTATGATGGCGAATTTATTCCTTTTCTTTTGTCTCTAATTCTTTATGATGCCTCATTTGCATGATGCAATTTTTCTGAAATGAAACTTGAACAGCTCTAAACTGTATAATCAATTTCTTTCAGCCTATGACAATTTCTTTTTGATTCAGGCCAGGTAACCTGACTCTGGGGTAGGAGAAGACCTGAACGGCAAGGTTCACAGGGCACAATGCCTGGGTTCTAGATGGCCAGTGGGATGAACATAAATGCCAGAGGGATGATGGGATTTGAAAACACAGCTACACAGAGAAGTCATCGAGTTGAAACTTGTTGGCTTGCGACTCTTTTGGAATAAACTCTGAGCATAACTGGGATACAGACACTTCACTGTCTACGTGAAAATCTGTCCAGTGATGGCAGCATTGCAGTTTCTAGAATGAATGCACAGGAGGACAAATTCCCACGAGGAGAGATATTATTGAGAGTATAAAGTTGCTTTCCTTTTTGCTACTCTGTCTCTAATCATATGGAAATAAATCCCTGGTGAAAGTAAGACAAAAATGATGACATCTTCCAAATCTAGTGCCACTGCTTTAAGCTGAAAGTTGGGCCCCAACTTTCATTTTCTTATCTCTAAGTTCTATTTTCCACTTCATTTCTTTTCTTGTGTCGCTTTCCTCGTAGCAGTATCAGAATTTGAACAGAAACATCTTTTACCTCATTTCCAATTTAAGAATTTTCTTGCTGTACATTTCATTTTGTGTACTCTTCAGGCAAATTTTTAAAACTTTGCCAAATTTGTTTATCGAAGTCATCAATGAGGAACATAAACCAGCAATAATCTTCTAACAATGAACTTCTCTTAGAAACACCAGGAAGGCTTCGGGTAGTTAATGAGACACTAGAACTTCCTTGAGGAAATTAATAGCCAAAATGAACTGCTTTTAAGGGGTGGCAACCTACATCGTCCTTAAAAGTTCAGGATTAAGGAAGGCAAGGTATCTAGCGATAGATAACAGAACTGTGAAGAAACAAAATTGAAACCTCAAAAAGTCTCTGCCTTCCACATCATCATTTTGCAATCCTTGGAACGTTCTTACCTCGGCAGAATTGCTTTCTAATTCTCACATTGTTAACTTTTGCTTATCTCTGCAATCTCTAATCAACTTCTATGTACTTGATTACTTCATTTCCCCCCCCACTTTCCCAGTCATCCTCTAATTCCTGCTATGAATTTCCTGTATTTCTTTTGCTTTCTCTCTCCTTTCATTTTTTTTTTTAACCTCTCCTTCACTTATTCGTTGATTTTTTTTTATCCCTGTTTTTAATTCTTATTTTCTTGCTCACTGATCTGTTGTGGCTTCAATAATTACTTAGGTGCTTCAAAATCACCCAGTGATTGACATTTTCTTACTGAAAAGAAAGGGATTTGTGACTGTGGAAAACAAGCTACAAAGACCCAACACATTCAATTTGCAGCACAGTTCTTTCCTCTCTTCCTTGGCGCTTTTGCCTGGGATTAGAGATGGACCGCTTACTGCCTCTGACAATGGCGAAGCACTTCAGGCCTGACTTCTTAGCCCTCTGAATCACAGGACAAGGTGCATCTGAGCGACTATGTTTACACTGATTATTAGAATTTAAAAATTGCTCTTTACCAGAAAAAGCTTACTTAAGTCTGCCCAGAAAACAGAGCAACGCCAGACTATACTAAGATAAACCATTCCTTCTTCTTGGCCCATACATTCTAGCCCCCAATAAACTACCTCTTTATTTAAGGCAATTAATTAATTAAGTAATTAATTTTTTCAAGAGGTATTTGCCTTAGGGTGTTGCTGGGGAGAGAGTGAACCACAGTCAGCCACGTGGGATTCCAGTGATGCAACTGCTGGGTCATCTGCTGCCCCCCCCTTTATTGATTGATTGATTGATTGATTGATTGATTGGAGAGGTTTTTGCCATAGGGCGCGTGCACTTGCCAGACAGACAGAGAGAGGCAGAGAGTCAGAAAGCGAGAAATCACTTCCCAGGGAGGATGGCCATGCCACAATCCCTTCTCCTCCATTCTCCTCTCAGGATCTTGGGCACGCACACACACACGCCCGTCGTGAGTTTTAAGCCACCAGGTCTGGGATGCGAACCGCGGTCGACTACGTGGGAGTCCAGTGACATAGCCATTATGCTAACTGCTGTCCCTTACTTATTTATTTTTTGCAGTATAAAAGAAAAACACACAAGTGGGTTCCCAAGAGAAGAATACAGCAGCTTTGTCTGCGTTGCTCCAGCCAAAGGCTGCCGAGACTGTTCATACAATGCTCCGTCAAGCAGATCTATCCGGCCAATTTGACCATAAGTAAATCTTTACAAAAGGAGGAACAGTAAAGAAGATCAATTCTTCACTGTATAATTCTATCATCGACACTGGAAAAGATTAGATTGCCACAAAACACAAATACATTTGACTCTGAGAGATTTCACTTCAGTGCTTCCGAACATGTATATATGAATGACACAGCTTTCTGCTTTAGATAATCATACCTTTGATAAGTTGGCCTGGGAATTTGCTTTACCTCTCTGTGCGTCTTGAAGAGCAGGACCACACAGCTCAGGGATGAAGCGCTCAGTCATTCTCTGCCATGTGCAGGGGTCTGTGAGCTTATTACCAAAGGATACTTGTGGTCAAAGCCATACCACATCCTGAAGAGCCGAGCACTTTCCATTTTAGTCGTACTTTTATCCAAGTTATTTGTTTCCTGCAGAGAGACGATAGAAAAAGGCATTGTATAAACAAACACATATTAATATAAAAGTATCACACCAAATTAAATTTAACTACATTAAAACAACTTTTCGAGGCCAAAAGGTGGAGTGGTTGGTTAAGGTGCTGGACTTCCCCCACATGGTCAACCACATGGTAGCTTGCTTTCTCATTTTCCCTTTCTCTCTGTGTGTGTCTCTCTCTGGTCATATTTGATAATAATAATAGTAATAAATAAAATAAAATAAATCATTAAAAAAACAAAACGATTTTTCTAAGTATAGTCAGTTTCGTCTAAACGGTGACATAGTTGCCAAAAAACTAGCTTGTAGATCTTGCCACACGGAGGAGACTCCTCTGACGTAACTCAACATTTACTTTTCTTAATAATGCCAGTTTTATTAACCAGCCAGGAAATGCCACAGTCTGACATCAATAAAGACGATATTTCTGTCAGATTGCTGTTGTGGGAATTTTCCAGTTTACTTCTGTCAAATTTAGAGGGTATTTACATATGGATTACCCAAAGGTCAGGGATAATGAGATGATAACAGACTAATAATTGCCATACTGGCATCCATTCATTTTCTTCTTGATAGAGCACTACCAACGGGTCTGGTTGACTTTTGATACCTTTCTGCTGAGATCATGAAGAGATTTGAAAAAGGTATTCCTGAGAGGAAGTCTGTCATAACTGAATGTGCTTGTCTCATTCCTGCCTCCCCAACAAAGACCACAAAAAGAGAAAAGATAAAAGGAATGAGGACTAAAAGAGAAGGTATTTAAGAGCTGTTTATGTAGTAGAGGCTGAAATGTGAGAAAAAGAAAAGGTGAAAAACTTTTGTGAAGTTTAGAGACTAACGATAATAAAATTTGCAACTGTGCTCCAAAGGATATTCAGTAGTATGCTTATTTCTATGTCTCCTCCCTTTTTTTGCATAATAAAAGATCAAATTCCAATCAGTCATAATGATCTCATTTTTTAAGAATGCTTATTTAACTTTATTATTATTATTTTAATTTGACTGGAGGGAGTTAGAAAGAAAGAGATAGGGAAAGTGAGAAAGTGAGCCACCAGGTTTGGGACTTGAACTACAGTCAGCCATGTGGGAGTTCAGTGTCCTTAACCACTAAGCTACCTGCCAGCCCTAATGATCCTATCCTTAAAAGCACTCATTTCTTTTTTTTTTTTTTTTTGAGAGATTTTCATTGTAGGGCGCGTGCGCTCGCCAGACAGACAGAGAGAGACATAGAGACAGAAAGTGAGAAATCACCCCCCAGGGGGGATGGTCACGCCGCAATCCCTTCTCCTCCATTCTCCTCTCGGGATCTTGGGCACGCATGCACACGCGCCCGGCGTGAGTTTTAAGCCACCGGGTCCGGGACACGAACCGCGGTCGACTACGTGGGAGTCCAGCGACATAGCCATTACGCTAACTGCTGGTTCCCAAAAGCATTCATTTCTTAACACGGACTTTGCTGCTTTGTCTGGGTTCACAGTTTCCATCCTCAAATTATGTTTTAAGTTGGCCGTTTAACCTGGACCTTCTTCTGAGGACATGTTGATGCATGGAAGGTGCAAGAAATCCACTGGCTGCACCAAAGCCAGTTCTTAGATGAGCCTGAGTTGATTTGTTTTCATTTCATTTTACTAATTTTTGCCCATCCCCAGCCAGTTTCACTGTAGGTTAATGACAAATAGTTGGACACAAAGGGTTACATTCTGCCCTCTGAAACCTACGTGTGTCAGCAGATGACACAGCCCTGTCTCCTACAAAAACAATGAGAATACAAGAAAGTAAAATGTGGTCTGTTCTTAGCCATTTGTCCTTTCTCTAAGGTGGTTGAAGCAGAGATTCACAATGAAATTAAAAATCAAACTTTTCATTGACTGGCTTAAGATCTCTGATATTTAAGCCTTGTACAGGGTCCCAAACAGTATCCTCTGGTATGCCACTGTTCACATGATGTTGATGATATTCTGTGCCAATCATTCAAGAAATGATGGGTGTGATGGTGTTAAACAGGCTTCTCAAAGGCAGGCTTCTCAGAGTCTTTAATTTATAAATGAGCATTGTAAATCTTTAAGAGGGAAGTGCTTCTCAAACTTAAATTGGTCATGAAACCCATTCTTTACTCCCAGTCCTCACTGTGGGACATTGCTTATCTTTTCCTGGACATTACAAATCCACTAATCTTCGTTTCCTGACAGAACTGGAGTGTGGTGTCTTGTTATCTAGTTAGAACTTACTCATACTCTTCCCCCAAAAGGAAATCAGGGATTCTGGCTTAATTTCCATTCTTCCCTGCACCTTCCTCTAACTATGTCCACCCAAGCAGAGGCATTGAGTTTGCAAAACTACCATGGGACATAGTTTCTCCACTATCTTGCAACATTTGCCAGTTACTTCTGAGCCACCACCCCTGAGCAGCATGTTGGGGTTTAGTTGGCAGAGAAAAACTGCTCATGTTGAACCAGTCAAATCAAGTTCTAGGCCATCAGTGGAGACTTTTTCCCCTTTGCTCTTCTTTAAGGACTTTCAGATTTTGGTTCAACTGACATGAGAGAGTTTTGATCATGGACAGTATCTACTGATGACAGGATAGTCACCGAAGAAGACTAACAAACGAAGTGTCTGCATGTTACAATGATTTGTTTGGGAAGTAAGGGGGAGTGGTGCAGTGGTGAGCTCTACTGACAGGCAAGGGGCAGGATTCTAGCACCCACCTTGTAGTGCCCCGCTGAGAGACGTTTGCAGTAATGACAGTTCTCTAGCTATTGAATGCTTATTAACTTCTAGGCTGAATTCTAGCCACATTATCCAGTCATTAATTGTTTTTGGCCATTATTTTTCAGTTCTCACAACAGTCTGTCAAGGTAGGTTACATACACCTATTTTTCACATGAAGATCTAGAGAGGCTCAGAAAGGGGAAGACGTAAGCTTAAATTTACATGGCTAGCAAGTAACAGAGCTGGATTTTGTGTCTATGCTTATAGGATTCTAAAGATGTTTTTTTTTTTTTTCTGCAGGTATCAGCTTTGGAAAGCACAAACCTTCTAGAATAGGCTACTTCATTGCACTATGGTTTCCTTGTCTGTAAAATGAATTGCAAAAATTGGACTAACTAGTTTCTAAGGTCCTAATCAGATAGAAAACACTATTATTTTTATTAACGACAACAACTAACCTTCTTGAACATGTACCATGTGCCAGACATTATTTGAGGCACTTGTCATAAATTAACTTTTTATATTCTTGTAACAGTTTGATAAAGTATGTCTTCTTACTATCTGAGCAGGGAGATGAGGTCAGGGAACTGGGACGCTCACAGAGGCTGAGCCAGGGCAGTTGTGGATACCCTAAAACACATCTGACTCTTCTTGGCTGAGTGGACAGTTGGTGTCATTGAAAGTATTCCCACAGAAGCCTAACTTCAAGGGTAGGGTTTCTCTAGACTCCCAGACACTGGTTTCCCAGGTCTTAGAAATACGCCTCCTTTTCTTTCCTCTTTCTATTTCCTTTTTATTACACTTTATTTCCCAAGGGGAATGTGCCAGAACTCACCAGACTGCTGAAAGTGCTTATACTTTATTTTTGGCAAACTTTCCAAATATATATATATATATATATATTTGTCAACTGATGGGAGCAACAGAGATTAGGTAGCATTGGAAAAATATGAACACACACACTCTTCTAGAAAAACTTAATTTTACTTAGGTGACTAAAGATGTTATTCATATTACTCCCTTATAGAGGACTAAGTTGAGTTATGATTAGGATGAGACATCTGTGGAATACATCTTTGCAGGTGGGGAAAATACCACTTATGACTCAGCACTGGTTTTTCTGCTGATCCTAGATAAAATTGTCAGTGTATATCTTAAATATCTGTTGGCCCAGTTCTAGATTCATTCATTTATTTCTCTGAAGTTATTGATGACTTAATAACTCGGTTATGAAAGGCCATCAATAAATGAGTAGAAATAAATGAGTTAGTCTAGTGTGTGTTCTGCTTGTGCACTGGGGGTTGAAGATAAATGTACCCAGAGAAGGCCAGCCTTTGCAGTCATCCTAAAGCAGGGCAGGTATCTGATGAGGCGGCACAGGGAGCAGGCTCCTGGGAGGGTCCAGATGGACAGAGGACAGCAGGTAGCATCAATCTCTCTGGATTATTCTGAAGTAGAGATCAGCACACACCTCAAGGACAATGGATGTGAGTGGTCATCAGAAGTAGAATCCGGAAGTCAGTGGTATTTTTCTGTACTGCTAGCACTACTTCTTTTTCGAGTTCCATTGCTCCAGAAGGGTAGTGACGTGCATGTTGGAACAAGCATAGGATCTAGAAGCCGAAGACGAGATTTGGAATCTCTCTCTACCATGTAATATTGGGTCATCAGAGAAGTCGTGACACATTTTTTTTTGCACAGAAAAACAGAAAAAATATGTCCTGACTTTTCTAATGACCCAATAGTACTAATACACTTATCAACTCTGAACCTTAAGTTTCACAGCTGTAAATGGGAACTGAAGAGTCAAGCATGTAGAATCTCAACTTTTTTTTTTTTTGGAGAGGTTTTTGCTATAGGGCACGTGTGCTCACCAGAAAGACAGAGAGAGACAGAGAGACAGAAGGTGAGATATCACCCCCCAGGGGGGATGACCACACCACAATCCTTTCTCCTCCATTTTCCTCTCATGATCCTGGGCACGCACGCACACGCACCCAGTGTGAGTCCAAGCCACTGACTGGGTCTGGGACTCCAACCGCAGGTGACTACATAGGAGTCCAGTGACATAGCCATTATCCCAACTGCTGGTCCCTAGAATCTCAACTTTTATCATGTTTTAATATTTTTTTAAAAGGATTATTTTATTTAACTTAATTTATTTAATTTATTTTAATTTGACCAGAGACAGACAGAGTGAGAGAGTCAGACAGAGAGAGAGAGAGAGAGAAAGAGAGAGATGGAAAGTGGGAAAGCTAGCCAC